GAAGCTTCCTTACATGCAAGGAGGGCGGGGCTCTGTGAGAAAGCCAACTCACTGGCTGCAGGACACACCATAAGGAAGCTCTAAAGGAGGTGGAGCCAGGGAGAAAGGAAGTTGATTACCTGGTTCTTGGAGGGACAGGCAGTGGACACATGGCAGTAGACAAAAGGGTCTACTTGGCGGGCAAAATGAGTCTGTGCTTGACTAAAATAATATTTACACAACTGTGTGCATTTGTCAGACTTGCTGAATTTACTTCCCTTTTATTAGTTTTGTCTTTTGAGACAGCGTTTCTCTATGTAGGTCCTCCTGTCCTGGAACTCTGTAGACCATCTGTAGACCAGGCTGGGCTCAAAATCAGAGATCAACCTGCCTCTGCCTCTTGAGTGCTGGGATTAAAGACATGCGCCACCACCACCCGACTACTTACTTAAATTTTAATGCACACCACTCACTCATCAATACATCTGATTTCAATAAAAGTCCATGGTATAACTATTACCCTTATGAGTTCCACTAGCGAAAAGGGGCTGGGTTGGTTACCTACCTGACAGGGTGGCTGGCAGCTGGTGGGCTACTGAGAAGCTTGGAGGCAGACTGCTCCCTGAGTCGGCCAGCAGAGGGCACCAGAGAACAGTGGCTGCCCAGTGGGCAATCCCAGGCAGGACTCTGGAGAAATGCATTGGCCCTTCCTTCATCAGCACGTTTTTTATTGCGCTGCCCGAGTATCAAACAATAACTGAATGCTGAGAAAAAATATAAATATGGGGGTTACTGGCCATGAGGCTTTGGATGAAACCTGGCAGTTGTGACCGAGGACTGTGTGTCCTGTTCTCAGAGCCTCCAGGAGACCCAGAGGGTTTGGGGTGTGTCCCCTTCCAACAGGGCTGTGGAGCAACGGGATTCTCCTTTCCCCAGTCTATTTGACTAACCTGCAAGCCGAAGCTATCCGGTGGACAGCCGGGTCACCCTCCCAGGGTGCACAGGAACAGGGCAGGGGTGGTGGGGAGGGGTGGGTGAGGGTTGAAGGAGTGGGGGTCAGGGGAGTGGGGGGGGGGTTGGGAAGGGTGACAGCTTACAGTATTGAAGGGCAAAGGGGGCTATGACCAAGAAGAAGGGACACAGACCCACCCACAGAGCCAGGACAGATCAACTGAGGCTCCCAAATCCTTTGTTCATCTGCTTCTTGTAAGATTGACGGCTGCAAGACCCTCCTACCAGGCCCTGCCTTTTGGGGTTCTCAGAGGTACCCCATGAGAAAGTGGGCACAGTGGATGCCTGTGAAACAGATAGCACAGAAGGTCTGGCAGAGAAGGCAGAAGCCGCTGAGGGATCTTAGGGAGACAGAGACATGAGGAAGAGGAAAACATTAGAGGGGGCGGGGTTAAGGGGGAAAGAGAGGTTGGTTTTTTGTTTTGTTTTGTTTTTTCATATAGAGCAGTTCAGCATTTCCTTTTTTTAATTTTTATTTTTTTAATTTATTTTTTAAATTACACTCATGATATTTATTAATTACACTCATGATAATAATCAGATTTGTGGTTTTCATATATTGCATTGCTGTATTTATTCAATTTTATTTCTCTCTCTCTATATATATATATGTTAATTATATATGTTAATATATAATTATATATATGTTAATTTTAAAGGTGGAATGTCATTTCTTGAAGGGGATAGGAGGTCTTAAATACAGGCTTAGAGCACAATGGGAGGACCCCAGAGGGCTGAAGTTGGCTACTGATGTTTTACAATCTTGGATCTAAGATGTTAACACCCATTATTCAGAATACACAGACAAGGAACTTCCCTTAAGCATTCAGGAGGGTGGAACCTGGCAGGAAATTAGCATAGGGAGGATATCAAGATCAAGGTCCACAAGCAAGGCAACAGTTACCCAAAATGGGGGCAGGGCCCTACAGGTCCTCCTTTTATTAAAAAATGAGCTTCTGATGTGGGTTGCGTGGAACATCAGCAGATCACCTTACCTGTCATAGAGATGCCTGCCCAGGCCACACAGGTGCTCTGTCTTAGGTTGGTGAGTGCCCCCAAGGCATTACCCATCTCTGAATACTCATTATCATAAAGGCTCAATTGTGTGAGAGCTGCATAGTTAATTGCTGCCAAAGATCTCAAAGTGGCTCTGGGCTTGCAATCTGTGTGTTTGATACAGAAAAGACCAACAGAGGTCCTATCTCACCCATAGCCAGTAGGCTAAAGGCAACTGAGCCATTCCCTTCCTTAACCACCAATACTGTACGTTGGAGTCCTTGTAAGATAGTATCCCAAAAGCAACTGGAACTTGAGTTTATAAATTTATAATTTTCAAAGCCAATAGAGATGTATATAACTACTGAATTAAATTTATCATGCCCAAAGGAATGAAAGATTAACTAACTGTGGTAGCTACTTTTGTTGCCCGGGTCTCCACTGTGCTAGCTGTAGTAAGCAATTATGAAATGGTAACCCCAAAACAGTAGCAGCAATGTGCGCCATTGCCACAACAGCAACAGTGTCAGCAGCAATGTCAAATTCTCTTCTGGATTGTGTGGACATCCACTGGCATGGACACAACTCCAGTAACACGAACCACAAAGGCCCGGTTTTCTTGATCCCAGCATGACTTTAGCTGGCAGTTCTTCTGGAGAATCCAATCTCATGGCTACAGTTCCTAGGCTTACATTAATGCTTGCCAAAGCTGGCCATATTGTGCTCTCAATCTCCATTGGCATCAGAAGGGTAGATTTTTTTCATGAAGACCCATTAGGTCTCTGTCATGTTGGGCTTCAGCAGCAGCCACAGGGCATGTTCAGTGCTCAGGAATCCAAAAAGGAACCTCATTGTCCTGAGGAAAGACATAACCAGAACTCCGGGGGCCACACCAACACTAGATCGGGTCTCCTCCATGTGCTACTAGAAAGAACCTTCCATCACTCCAGAGGGTAATTTGCAACAGGAGCCCTCCAGTTCTTATCTGCATTGGATCCTCCAGCAGAATCCACCAATAAAAAAATTTAAAATCTATAAAACAAGGGAAAGAATAGAATGTGGAGAGGAATGATGAGTCCCTAGTTCTCCCTTTTTTTAACTTTAGTAAAATGTTTTCTTGTTTAATATTTCAAGATTTTCTTTTATTTTTATTTATTTTTTATTGTTTAAAATTAATTCATTTATTTATTTTTCTATTATCAGCTTGATTTTTTTTTGTTTTTTTAATCAAGAGTCACTATTGTTCCAAAGACAGGAGGAGCCTGGTAGTGGCCCTCTGGGGAAGAGAAGGGCTGACACAATCTGAAGTCTGCAAGATGCCACATGGTCAACAAAGGCATAGTGTAGGGAAAGAAAGATTTATGAGAGACTGAACAACCGCCAATCCTGTGACAGGCAAAGACATCTGTGCTGTGTTTTGTCAGTTGGACAAAGGCTAGGGTCATTTTGACAGAAGAAGGTCAACTGACAAGATGTCTTATCAGATTGGCCTGTGGGCGAGCTTGTGGGGCATTTCTTGATTGGTGATTGGTGTTGGGGGACACAGCTCAGTGTGGGTGCTGCCATACCTGGGCAGGTGGTCCTGAGGTATAAGGAAGCAGGCTGGGCAAACCAGGAGGAACAAGCCAGTAAGTAGCACCACTCGATGGCCTCTCCATCAACTCCTGCCTCCAGGTTCCTGCCCTGTGTGAGTTCCTGTCCTGACTTCCTTTCATAATGGACCATTATAGGAATGTAAAAGCCAAATAAACCCTTTCCTGCCAAGTTGTTTTTGGCCAGTGTTTGCTCACAGCAACAGAAAAGCAAACTATCACACTGCTCTTGGATGGCCCCAGCTGAGAATGAGGGCTCCGAAAAGGGAGCCATCCTTTCTCCAGTGTTTCCCAAGAGGAGGAGGTTGGAGTGAGGCAAACCAGAGGTCCAGGACTTAGGATTACACCATGCAACAGAAGTAGGCCACTGGGTGGTGCTAGCCAGTTGCCTTGGGCTGGGAAAAGGAAAGGAGATAAAAAATTTCTCAGAATCCAATCTTATGGCATCCGGGCATCCTCCTGGCCACAGCTGGATACCATATACAGCCCTTAGAGCAGTGGTTCTCAACCTCCCTGATGCCGGGACCCAATAATACAATTCCTCATGTTTTGCTGACCCCAATCACCAAGTCATGTCGATGCTACTTCAGAACTGTAATTTTGCTACTGGCATGAACCATAGTGTGAATATCTTAGAGACAGACGTTTGTCAATGAGGTCACGACCCACAGGTTTAGGACCAATGCCTTAGACAAGGCTGTGAGGAAAGGATGTGCTGGAGTCTCCCTGAAAATAACTGCCCCATGGAAACACTGTTTCCTCTTTCAGTAACTTCCATTTGAGCTGTTATGAAGGATGCTCTCAGGTCAAGAAACCCCGTTCAGGGAGCAGGCCCAGGAACCAGGTCCTCCCTGCTCTTGTTCACATCAGGAAGGGGAGGCAACCAGTGGACTTGGACCCAAGTCCAAAGTGAGTACCTCGTTGAGCATTTAGTAAAAGTGATGGGTCTGGGGAATTGTGATCAGAAATCACGTGTTGCTCCTCTCAGTCAGAGGTCAGAGTCCCTGAGTTCTTTAAAGAGATCTGAGTGTACAGAACCCTAGAGATGTGGCTTCTGACGTTCACAGATGCAGAACACTGACATTACTGCAGTGCCCTCAAGTGTCCAGTGACTTACAGCTCTCAGAGGGGATGAAAATGTGTTGAGACTGTACCTCTTACCCATGTGTACATGCACACATTCATACAATGTTGTTCACACAGGCACACACCAATGTATTCACAAACATGCCCGTATTCACGCACTTGTGCATATCCTCATGTACACACCATGTAGTCACACCCAAACACACACACACACACACACACACACACACACACACACACACACACACACCACACACACACTCCCGGACATACTCACATATTCACATACATTCTGCCATCATCCATCTGCCTCAAAGAAACCAAAATAAAATTTGCCAGGTTTTAAAGGTTTCTTTACTAGGAATATTGCCATGATTGGCCACTGCAGAGAGTCAGGATCCTTTATGAAAACTCAGAAGTTGATGGAGTCCAGCTGAGACCTTTATCCTCTGGCTTGCAGCTCGCAGGGAGCCAGCAGCAGGACAGCAGGACCTCTCAGTAATGACAATCTGGAGGAGGAAAAGCAGGGTGGTTGGTAAGCATGCCAAGGAGCCACAAGTGCCTGCGCTCAGCAGTGTGGCCCCTCATAACCAACAGGTGCCGAGGAAGGACAAAATGGGAAAGGATGACCGCCAAGCCTCGGCATTCTCTGAGGGCCTGTTCTCCACAAACACTAGAAATTTCCCAGAGGAACCTGCCGACCAGTGTGTGAGGTCACACAACAAACCACCCGGGTATCGCTCAGTCAGGAAAACACCCTGCTGCCCATGCTGGAGTGTCAGAGTTCCGAACCCCTGAACTCCCACAATAAGGCAGGTGTGCTGGAACGTGTCTATAACCTTCCTGTTGGGAGTGGGTTGGGGTGCATGTAGACAGACCCCTGGAGCTCACTGTCCAGCCACCCTACCCAATCAGTGAACTCAAAGTTCAAAGATGGACCTGGTGGAGAGAGGCTAAGGGAGACAATCAATATCAAACTCCAGCCTCCAAACACCTGTGAATGTACACACACACACACACACACACACACACACACACACACACACACACACACAGGAGGGGTCCTCCGCAGGTGGGAGTGGATGGGAGAAGCTCATGCCAGGCCCTAGGGGGACCCTCACCTGCAACCATTTACCTTCCACAGACTGTGGGAAGAAACACCAGGGCACGTCAGAGCTCAGGTTGGAAGAGCAGCAGTTTCGAACAGCACACTCCTCAGGGCTCATGCCTGGGTACCCACAATTCTTTCGGGCTGATTCTTCCATGACACACTGCTCTGATTCTGGTTATGGGGGAAGCAGCATACAAGACTCTGTCAGGCTAGCCGCTCACTGAGGGCCCCCAGTCCCACCTTTCCAAAGACACTGGAGTTGCAGCCTCAGTGTGTCCCAAGGAGCTCCTTGGTTGGTGTCTCTCAGCACAGTAATAGCTGGGGACCAGCTGTCCTTCCCACAGGAGGACACGACGAATATAAGGAGGTCAGCACAGGTGGGAATATCGGTAGAAACGGAATCTTGGGAAAACCATATCACCCTTTCTGGACTCAGGGTTCAACTTTGTTTAATGTGAGTAGCCCACTGTACCAAGCCCAAGGGAGACTTAAAGACCCTGATCATGAGAAGGGCCTAGCACATGGCCACAAACAACCTGATTTTCCTTTAAAGTACACAAAAACCTTGGGAGAGAATATCCAATCATGAGTGTGCCCCAATGGCAAGATCCATGCCTGCAGTGGACACACACACATCTAGCCTTGTGCATACTGTATTCATAGTTTGCCCTGGCTTCAAACACATTCAAAATAACAAAAATCTGCCAGAAACCTCAACACTCTACTTAACATCTGAAGTCTGTTTGCCAGGGTGGTGATGCCATCTTACCCAACACCTCTATTTCCTTTCAATAGCATCTTTGGAATTATGGTTTTAAATCTAGGGGGGAAACATTCAGGTCTGCTCACAGGCATACATAGAGGGCTTCTAGACGGTAGGGAAGGTCTAGAAGAGACACTAAGGCTTCCTTTTCCTAAGCCTGGGCTAGCTCTAGACAGCCAGGCTTCCAAGAACTTGCTCTAGACCTTGCCCAGGGCCCCATCCTAAGCTGACAGCAGGAAGAAGTCCCAGATCTCCAAAGTATACCTTGGTTTGGAAGTGGGAGGAAACACCAGGGGACCCCACTGATGCTGGAGTCAAAGCAACATCCAAGATTAAAGCACTGCTTACTGGTGATGCCCAGGTTACCACAGGTCTTTCTGTTCTGTGGTGTCATCCTTGAGCACTGACAGGGAGCTGTGGAGAGAACCATTCATAGTCGAACCTGTCCAAGATGCCATATGCCTGCCTCCCCCTGCTCTGGGCCCTCAGGGACCTTCCAAAGTCCTATGACCCCAGGACTGACATGGGGGCTTATTTTGCCCATGTTAGAGCTGTTGACTTCCTCCGGAGGAAACCAAGGGATTTTATAGAAACAGCTTCATTTGTTAAAAAAGAAACAAGGCCACACAAACCTTCTGTAAAGATGATGGCCCTGTGGACCTGGGCAGAGATCAAGGTAAAAGGGGACAAGATGGGCCCAGGACAGCATGCCCTGCTGTCCTCCTAACCAGGCTGACACCTGTGGACTCAGCCCTTCTGAATAGGAGTCACAGATTGAGCCCCACAAGCAGCACCCAGACTGCAGGGTGCTGTCTAGCTCCTTGCAAGCTGTCACCCTGCCTTTGTCCTTTGAGGAAACATCTAGAAAAACCCCACCTAGTACAGGGGATGGGTGACCCACAGCCCACCACTCATGGGGACTCAAGCAGGTTTCACCTCCCACCTGAGGGATCACCCTGGACTTTTACTTACAGGGTTTCTGGCCCTCCACCAGAGCATACAGCCCCAAGACAAGGACCACTGCCAGGAGAGGGGCGCCTCGAGGACCCATGTCTGCTCCACTGTACCTGGGCAGCCTGCAGAATGTCCAGTTCCCACTGCCTGATGTTTTATTGGCTCCTCTCTGTTTGCTCAATGGCTCTGAGAACCTCCCCCTATCAGTGGCCCCAGCCCTCTGGATCCTTTGTGCTGAAGAGCTGACACAGCTCCACGTGGAGGCCTGGAGGAGGTGGGAGAAATTCCTGAGAGTGCAGTCACACAAGGCTTCCAGGCTGGGTCAGGCTGGCCTCCATAAGCATAGCTGCCCCCTGCCCTTGGCAGGAAGCAAGGTCCTGCCAGGCTAGAGAAGTGCAGCATGGGCCACATGTGCAGCTGGAGCTGGGCTCTCTCAGGGTCACACCCTGGACGGGATTAGCCATGTGTTACCCTGAATAACTTTTGTGGCTATCTTAGTGACATCTGAATTTTTTTTAAAACAAAAATTTGTAGTGAGGCTATATGGGAAAATGAACATCACCGGGAAGAATATTTCATACAAGAGCCTTCCAGGGTTGGGCATCTCACAGGACTGTGGGAGGCACCTTCAGGGTACCTAGTTTGTACCTCTGATGCAGAGATTACCCTCCCTGACCTTGTTCACTGCCAGCCTCAGAACTGTGTCCACAAAGACCACATGACAGGGACCAAAGGAACAGCCAGGAGAGGCTGGTGTTTGTTTCTTTTTAATCACCCCTGATGTTGAACATTCTTTGTCCCACAGGGATCCTTTGCATTCCCTCAGATGGTGCCCAGCACTGAGATGTCCACAGTGAGATTCCCTGGAGAAGGGCTTTGTAAACTGGACACAGAGAACAAAATCCAGGGCTTCATGAGAGCTCAAAAGAGAAATGACAGAGTAGAAGAGGAGAGGGGGACTGTGTGTGTGTTCCTTGGGGCTGAAGGGATGTGCCTAGCTGTGGGTGACAGGCTACAGAGCCAGTGACCGGGATTCAGAATCTGAAAGCCTTGGCCTTATCCCAGGCTTTATGGGCAGACCTGAATCCTCAGTGCCTCTCCTGGTTCTTCCCCCTGAGTCCTGAAAATCCAGCAGGAGTCCATTTCCCTGCAGCACACCCCACCATGATGTCACACCCTTGTTAGGTGTTGGTTGTTTTGTTTTGTTTTCAACTTGACACAAGCCAGGGGCATGTGGCAAGAGGAAACCAAGGTCCTGCTTCTATAAGAAAGCAGGCTGAGCAAGCCATGGGGAGGAAGCCAGCAAGCAGCATTTCTACATGGTCTCTGCTTTAGTTCCGGCCTCCGGGTTCCTGCTGGGAGCTCCTGCCCTGACTTCCCTCAATGACTGACTGTGATAGAGCTGTGGAAGCCAAATAATCCCTGTGCTGTCCAAGCTTCTTTCTGCAGCAAACTCGGACAATCATCATCATATGAGCTGATCCATCACCCATTATCTCAAACATTCCCATTCCTTCCTCGTTCTGGTCCACATAATAACCCAACTTCTCCTGCCCTGCCAGAGGTTCTTCTGATGTCATCTGTCCCCTAAAGGGACAGTCACCCATCTCTGTTGCTCCCTTGGAACACCCCCCACCCAGTCCCCTGTAGAAGCCTGTGCCCACAGATAACCATTGCGTCAGTGTTGATGAGGAGCTGAGGGCATGACAATAGACAGCCTAATCTGTAGAACCAGACCGTGGTCCCACCACAGACGCTCATGATGAGCACAAGGATGCAGGTTCTACATGTACAGCAGCTGGTGGGTCCTGTGGGATGCAGACTCTGAGCTGTACCACATCTATTGCTCCTTCCCCATTGGGGTTTCCTGACCTGCCTCCTGCATCATGGCCTCATTCCCAAGGTCATTGATCCAAAGCTTGGTACCATCTCCAATGGCTTCAGTACTGCATATCACATCCAGACTTATGGCTGCCCATCTCTGTATCTTCTGTATCTTCTGTATCTTCTCTTGGACTCTAGGACTCCCACTTGCCCTCTCACTTAGAACCTGGACTCTACAAGGACAAAACACAGGTGTCTTCTATTATGGATGTTCTCACTTCCAACTCTTTCTTTATGGCTGCCATAGCAGCTGCTTCCTAAATCCTAACCTTCTAATCCATAGATGCTCAGCTCTCCCTCTGACCGCACCCTTCTCCTCCAGCCTGGCTTCCACAGGGCTCACTTCACCCTAGTACAACACAGGGACACCTGA